AAAAAAAAAAACAAAAAACTTCTGTTGGATTTTCTCTGTGTGCCTGCTCTTGGGTCTTGTTCTGAGTTTTTTTTCAAGCATGCAGGTGAGGACTCACACCCAGGCCATCCCATTTCCCTTTGGGGTTGCTCTAGACACTACCGCGATTATAAAATAGTCAACAACGTGAGCCTCGCTGTAGCTCTTTGCCACCAATGCCGTCGGCTATATAAAATCTGTGATTTCTATCTGACTAAGGTGGCAGTTCTGGAAATGGTCTGTTGACTACATTTATAAATGAAGGAAAACAAAGACGACTTTGTTTCTCCCAAAATTCTCAAGCCTCCTGATTACAACTCAGGTGCAGAGAGCCCAGGTAAAACCCCAGCCTCGGGGAAAATTCCAGGACTAGCTTGCTGCATCCTTGGACTCTGCAACCTCTGAGCTTTTTAATGCCAATGATTCGCTGTCCCAGCAATTGCTTTTGATTTTTTTTTTTCCCCTGAGTGCCCAGAGCTGCAGAGTGCTGTCAGGGGATATGTCTGCTAAAGATAGGAGTGGGATTGCCTGTGTTTTAGGGACCAGCTGGATAGAGGGCTGGAATGGAGTTTGCAAAAGTGCCTGGTCTGGGTGCACAGGGTCACCTTAGGGGCTAAGAAGAGATGCGCCCCACCCTGGCACTTCTCAGAGATAACAAAACCCAGAAAAAAATCCACAAAACCTTCATTGAGAAGGACCCTCTTTATTCCCACATGAGAGTGAAAGGTCTTTCCCTTAATAGCATGCTATTGTCGACTGGTCAGGGTGCACGCAGCAGTTACAAGGATTCAGATGTTACCAAAGTTCCCTAGTGCCCTACTGGGTGTGAGCGAGGGGCTTTCTCAGGTGAGAATGGAGAGCGTACAGTCCCCTCTCCTGGGGCGCCATTTGCCTAACCTTCTGCGTACTTTGCTGGGGCCAAGGGCTCTAGGTAAACCCTCCCGTTCCGCGACATCGTTGGCCTGGAAGCGGAGCTGTAGGTCACCAGAGGACAGGGCTCCTCCACCGAGGGCCTCCTGAGGGCAGTATAGCCACTATCTGGAAGACAGACCAGCCACCAGGCACAGTTAAGCAGAGACCCCTGCAAACACGCCACTGCCCCTTTGAAGAATGGTAGGAAGATAAGTCCTCCTTTACCTGGAGTACAGAAATCCAGATATTTTGGTGGCGGGCCCTCACACCGGGAAACATTTGGAGAAGGAGCAGGAGGAGGCTGTGGGGTTCTAACTGCGTATAACCTAAAAAAGAACAAGTCAGGGAGGTAGTGCTTTAATTCCCCATAAAATTAAGGAGACAGAGAAGCGGCTGAGTTCTCGCGGGAGCACAGCTCGGCCCAGCCCTGACATTTATCCAGTAGAGGAGAGCCAGTTTTAAGGGAGGGGAGAAAGAGCCCAGAGCCACCCAGAGCAGCAGCTGCCTTCAACCCCGCCCCTCCCTGCAGCACCTGGGGGCCTCAGGCTGCTGCCAGGACAGATATCCCAGTTGGCTGGCTCTCCCAGCCTGGGCCTGAAAACCAGCCAGGGCCGCTGGCTGAGCTTCTGGAGGGCGTGGGGCACACAGCTGCAGGGAGCAGCTGTGATGACAACCAGATCTCCGCTGTACAACAAATCCCACACGGAAACCAGCCTAGCACTGGCCCTGGGGCACCTGCTTCCGCCGGCCCAGCACCTGCTCTTCCCAGATTCTCCTCACCAGCAATCACCGAGTCACACTTACCCCTCATACAGTTTCAGGGGCGCTCTCTTGGCCTTCTCCATGAGCCTCAGGAAATCCTCGTAGCAGTTTCTGGCCATGACAGTGTAGCGTGTGGCACAGCCCAACTCAGTGACCCTGGCTCTGGGCAGGTAGCCAGACCAGCCGGGGATCGGGGGCTCCTGCAGCGGCCTTTTGATGTGTTTGCTTTCTGGAACAAAACACCATGCTTCCTAAGGGCTTTGCAAAGTCACAAGGGGCAATGCTCCCAAGGTAAGCGCACCCCAGGTCTCTAGGCTACCCTGGAGGGTTGCTTCTGTGTGGTGGGTTCCGTGGCCCGGATGCCCAATAACCCCTAGTCTCTCACTTCACATTCTCACAAAAGTTGAGGCTGTTACTCCATCACTTTATGGAGGGGGATGCTGAGACCTCACAGAGGCTGAGTGTCACGGCCAAGGCCACATAGCAAAAAAGTGGTCGGACCAGGGGTCAAGCCTGTGTCTGTCTAACTCCTGTGTGCTCGCTCTTCCACAGATCCTCCTTCCTCAGATCTCAGATTGATTTAAAAAAAAAAAAAAAAAGCTTTCATGTCCATCAACCATCAACAGAAGGCTGAATCTGCCTATGGAAGACTACTCAGCCATAAGGAAAGACAAAAAGCTTCTATTTACAGCCACATGGAAGAAGTTTGAGGAACTGTATGTAGTTAGAAAGCTAATCAGAATGGCAAAGACAATTATCGGACATTCACAAAGCAGATAATCTGACAAAGTAAAGCACTTAGAAAAAGTAGCAGGCACTAATAAAGTGAGATTTCGGAAGTTAAAGGGAGGGGCAAGGGAGAAAGGGTTGGGGATGGCAGGGGGGGATAGTGGGGGACAGACAAGCTTCAGACATCACGCTGATGAACTCCACGATGGAATCAAGAAGCATCAAGTCGGGAGAACGGACACTGGGCATCCCACCGCAGGTGGAGAAAGATTCTTGCAGCTGAATGACTTTGAACAAGTTCACATTTATCAGATAAGAGTATCTCTTCTAGTTGCTGTGAGACTCAAAATAGACCACTAAATCCCAGAACCTCAGAGCTCGAAGTTTCCCCAGGCAGCATCTAACCAAGCTTTTGCTGTCCAGGATGAAGGAAATGGTGCCCAGAGAGGTAACGCAACCTGCCAGAAGTCACACAGCAAAGAATCACAGCAGGTGTTCTTGATTATGGCTTGGAATGTTGTTTTAAAGCACAGCAACCTTGTAAGCTAACAGATGTTCTTGGAAAGTCCCCTACTACTACTAGTAAAGGAATCAATCCATTCCATTTCCTATGGGACTTCAGACCTTAAAAATGCTAAATCAAACCATTGCTGTGATTAGCATACAATATAATCATGGAACTCGAACAGCCCTAGAGCAAGACTGGAGAAAGCCACCGGAGAGAAGGCTCTCGGGAGGGGGTTTGTTTGTTCTAGTTGTGTTGTTAATCAGTGAAGAACTCCTCCCTGACCACCTGTCCCTGGCACAGCTGGCTTCCCCAGCTCTGGAAGCTGCTCTCTTCCCTTCTCTGTCTCTAACATGGGCAGAACACTCTGACCTCAGGGGTTGGGGTGGGTAATGAAATAACCGTGCCTGCACAGAAGCAGCAACTAGAAACAGTGCCCATGGACCAAAGCTGATGTCCACAAGTTAGCTGTGACTTGCCCACAGGCTTTTAGTGTCCGACACCCTCTTTCTCCCCTCAGGCAATGGGAAGGAAGGAGGGAAGGAGGGAAG